TTCTATGAATTTCTGTCCATCCTCCCTACCTGTTACTTTGGTATTCTGAATCCCTATTCTTAGCTGGCTGAAAGCCAAGGCTACCTAGGTTCTTTGTTGGCATCCCTAGTGTGAGCACTGCTCGGGGTCTATCTGAGGCCCTTGTGAACTCTGACACATTAGGGATTTGGCCTTAGTCATTCCTCTAACCCCCAAGCCATCCCTGTTGCTCTATTCCCATATCATGTGCTGTGTTTTTGTGCTGGTTGTCCCAAGTGATGCATTACTTGGTGCTGTGGCTCATTGGAAGGCTCCCCTATGGACCTGTGATCGTATGGTATTCTATGTTGAAGGCCCAGTAAGGCTGGATATTTAGTTGTTTTACTTGGGCCCGCTATAGACTTGTCTATTGCCATGTAACATTACTATCTTTATTTGTTCATTTGGGGCTGTAATAATACCATTGTATAAACGATTGGGGTGCTAGTAAAAGGGGAAATGGGTAGAATGTAATATTTGCATGCAAAAATGGGTAGATAACTTGCCTATATGACTTGATAATTATGTGATATACGTGTTGTTCAATTACTATGTGCACTACAGAAACCATGCCATTAGAGGAAGCACACATACTGTCTACTAGCAAACACAAGTAGAAAATGCTGCAGTTATGTTTCTTGCTATGTGTTATTAGAAATCCTGCCTATAGGAACAAATGTCAATGGACTATCTTTCAATTCACCTCAGCATATTCACTAGCAATCATGCCTATAGTACTCTTGCTATTATCTTGCAATATACACTAGAAATTATGCCAATAGGATTCTTGATCACCTTCTTGCTATTGTGTCGCACTGTTCACTAGAAATCATGCCTATAGGACCAAGTATAACCATAAATTCAGTCCCAGGCGCTAATCATTAGAGGCCACGTCTATAGGATACAATTATTCGTATAATAACCGTTAATGATGCACTTCTCAACTCTGTTCACTTAGACCACTATCAAAAGCATGCATAATTCTAGACTTCATTGTCACTTATGCATAAATCACTTAGGCACAACATCTACAAGATTAATGACAGGAAATCTGCAATTCTTCTTAATAATCAGTATGCGACATTCGTATATCTTGTCAATGAATAACGCGAGTTCTTCAAATTTCTTGTATGTCTGGATGCCTATCGCTTAGAAATCATGTCTGTAGGTTTTATAATACCTATAATCTGTAAATCAGTTAATTTAGAACAGAAGCACCACATATACGATATTGGAATTCAGAATCACCTAGAATCCATGCATATAAGACTCTAAGTCTCAATTTCTAAACTGTGTACTACTTAAACTGCCTGCGTGCATTTGCTTGTTTATGTGTGGAGGATAACTTGGGCCTTTAACTGTCTTTATGTGAAGTCCTACATGTTTTGCTTGTCACCTAGTTTTGGCATTTTTGAGCAGCCTAGATAAAGTCTAGAACCATCCAAATAGAGGTCCAAAACCTCCTGGACCATAGGTATGGGACGGGTAGTGCACGCATAGGGTAAGACTTATATTTGAACTAGTGCGCTTTAAGTAACAACTTGAAGATAGTAATTGGATAGCAGGAGATGATAGTCTGTGCCTGCTGGATAATATGAGTAACACCCCATTCAGAGGGAGTTACGAATTATTATTTATGTTGCACGGGGTGATCCTTTAGGCTAAAAAACATAGGACCCCCCCTTCTTATTCCTATTTATCTGTAAGTCAAGTGTTGAAAGTTTGTTGATAATAAAAAAACTTCCCAAACTCCTCGCTTTCTTTGTCTCCATTCGTCTGACTAATTCATATAATTCAAGTTCGGCCGCGACTCACAGTTGTGGACCTCGAAGAGTGCCTAACACCTTCTCTTTAAGGTAATTTCGAGCCCTTATCCGATCTTTGCTGATGCAATCTAGTTAAAACAGAGTTATTTGAAAATAGGTCCTAACGCACCTTAAACCTATTAGGTGGTGACTCTTCTTCTCTTTTAACACATTCCTTAAAAGAGTTGTCAAAACGTCGAAACCCGATTTCGCGAAAAAAAGGGGCGCGACAGCCTCCCCAGAAGCTGTCCTTACCTCGAAGGAAATAGCCGGTGTCATTGACATCACGGAGTCGCCATATCATACAGAGTCCATGTTCGATGAGGCTTAGGACGAAAATGAGAAGTGAAATGAGATAGCATGGGGCATAGACGAGACCCTCAACATGTTTTTTGACGGCGTGAACATTGGCGTGCTGGAGGATTATTTCGGGCTTGGCCACCTAGAGATTCCAAAAAATGATGTGCCACTGAGAGCAGACGAACCCAACTCGAGCTCGAAACTGGTGAGGCAGTTCCTTGCTTTGAGTGTGGACCCCAACCATAAAAGAACGGTCGTGCTTACTATCCCGGTAGACACCCGGGTGCTGTCCGCTCGGTGGGTGTGGACAGCTATATTCGCTGCTTGGTGACCAAAGAGGACCAGATGAAGAAGAACGAAGTATGCACATTGAGCCTCTTCAACGAGGTGCAACAGGAACTGAACCGGGTAAATTGTCTATTCCTTCTGCCCTTTGCGACTCTTGCATAACTTCAGCATGCTCTTAAGATCTTATCATTTTGTTTTTCAGGCTTTGGTGCTCCACCATGAAAGCTTCCTTCGATCTCAAATGGAAGTCAGCCAGCTCGAGTTCGAGCTCAAAGAGCATGTCCGACAGAAGGACATATATAGGGTTCTCAGTGAACAAAAAGATGAGGCCCTCAAGGATCTACCCATTCTTTGAGCTGAGCTAGAGAAGGCTCAAAAGGAGACGTTGTCCATCAAACGGGAGCATGCCAAACTGGTTGAGAAGGTAAGGATTTTTTAGGTTAAAAAAGAGAGGTTATACATAGTGACTAATGACGTAACCTCCCAGGTCCAAGAGAAGATAGACCTGGTTGACCAGCTCCGAGCCGAGATGAATGAGCTCAAAGCTTCAGCCGAGACACTGAGGAGCAACATGGACTTGCTGGCTTCGAAAAAGGAGGCTCTAAAAGAGGAGTTAGCATCGGTCAAGGATCAGCTCGGGGTGGAAACGGAAAACGCCGCCAAGTAGTCTCGGCTAAATGTTGAACTCCGGAAATAACTGGATTCATCAATCTCGGGTTAGGATGACCTTGGCCGGGAATATACTGTGCTGAAGTCCAAATTGGAGCCAACCTTGATTTACTCCTCCGAGGTCAAACGAAATGTTGTCCCGGTATAAAACTGAGGTGGAGATAGCGAAGGTCCATTAATAACAAAGGCCGAGTATGTAAAGCGGTTGTCCCATAGGGAGACCCTTGAATAGATTCACGCCTAGGGATTTGATCTATCGGCCAAGGCAAAAGAACTTTATGCGCCCAAAGTTTCCGGTGCCAAGTCGAGCTCCGATGAAGATCAGGCGGAGATGCCTTAGCTTTTTTTATTTTATTTTGAGGCCATTTTATCATGCCTTTGTAAATATTTTTTGAAATTTATATAAAAAATTCCTTTGGCAACACCGTATATTTTTTTTACTTTTCAGCATTTATTTGTAATTATTTATTTGCTAATCGTCCTTAATGCCTTAGAATATAATCAGACATGAATTGGAGCATCCGTCCTCCGCAAGCCCGAATGAGGCCCGATTTCGATGGTATGTCCGGATTGTTCGTGGCTTCGAAATTTCGATAAAAATTGAAGGCCTTTGAGATATTTAAGTGTTTCAGTCATATACGATGGTGTTTTGCCGAGGGTAACCTTTTAATAGGTTTTAATATAATAAATAGAAAATTGTGTACCTTCTTCCTCCTGGACTAGGGCACCACTTAGCGCCACCTCAAAAATTGCCAAGTAGAGGTACATTATTCGTATGCCTTCAGAGTGTGCAGCAAAGAGGGTCTCGATAGGTATCACTTGAGTTCTTCCAAAGCTTGCTGGCATTCCGGAGTCCAAGAAAAATTGTTTTTCTTATTCAATAGTGAGAAGAACCGATGACTCTTATCCGATGATCTCGAGATGAACCGACCCAATGCGATTATCCACCCGGTCAGTCTTTGTACTGCCTCGACATTATCGACTACGAGAAGTCCTCTATGGCTTTTATTTTGTCGGGGTTGATCTTTATTCCCCGATTAGATACAATAAATCCGAGAAATTTGCCCGAGCCGACCCCAAATGCACACTTCTCTGCAATTAGCTTCATGTTGTACTTCCTCAATATGTCGAAGGTTTCCTGCAAATGTTTCAAATAGTCCTCTGCTCGCAGGGACTTGACCAATATATCGTCAATATAAACTTCCATTGAATTTCCTATTTGTTTTTCGAACATCCGGTTGACTAGGCGTTGGTATGTGGCATCGGCGTTCTTTAATCCGAATGGCATCATGTTATAGTAGTAGGTGCCAAACTTGGTTATGAAAGAAGGTTTTTCTTGATCTTCTAGGTCCACCCAAATTTGGTTGTACCCGGAGTAGGCGTCGAGAAAACTGAGTATCTCGTGTCCGGCTATCGCGTCGATTATTCGATCGATGTTAGGCAAAGGGAAGGAGTCATTTGGACATGCCTCATTTATATCCTTATAATCTACACACACCCTCAGTTTATTTCCTTTTTAGGTACTACCACTACGTTAGCTAACTAATCTGGGTATTTAACTTCTCAAATGGAACCTATTTTCAGAAGTTTAGATACCTCGTCCTTGATGAATGTGTGTTTGATCTCGGACTGTGGTCTTCTCTTCTTCTTAATCGGATGGAATTTCGGATTCAAGCTTAACTTGTGAGTGGTTACCTCCAGTGGGATCCCTGTCATGTCTAGATGGGACCAGGAAAAATAATCGGCGTTCGTCGATTTGGTGGCGTTGGTATCATCGGGTGCTACAAATGATCTTGGGACACTGTAATCGTCCTCATCGTCTGCTTCGTGCTTTTTCTGTTTCTCCGGCTCGACTGAGACCGGCATCATTGATTGCTATTTAGTTTCTTCTTTTTTGGTCGGCTCTGCGTTTATTGATGTTCAAACCGCGGGCACCAGGATCATTTCATCGACAACGAACATTTCCCTTGCTGTCGCCTGTTCTCCATAGACCGTTTTGACTCCTCCCAGAGTGGGACATTTCAGCTCCTGGTGTAAGGTGGAAGGCACCACCCTCATGTTGTGGACCCACCGCCTTCCAAACAACGCGTTGCACCTCATATCTCCTTCGACGTAGAACTTTATTTCTTGGGTGGTCTCGGCAGTGTATACTGGTATTATCATACCTTTCGTGGTCTCACACGCCATGTTGAATCCATTTAACACCCGGACTACCAGTACGATTTGATCTTGTAACCCTAGTTGCTCTACGACCCTCAATCTGATGATGTTGGACGAGCTATCTAGATCAATCAACACACGCTTAACCCGATATTTATTGATAAGTACAGATATTACTAGTGCATCATTATGAGGTTGTACGATGCCCTTGGCGTCTTCGTCGCTGAATGAGATAGCTCCTTCGGGGACGTAATCCGGGGTGCATTTTTCTCTCATGATAGACACTTTAGTGCATTTTATCATTGGACCTTGGGGGACATCGATTCCCCCAATGATCATGTTGATTACGTGCTGAGGCTCTTTTTGCTCGACCTATTTGTTGGCGTCCCTGTTTCTGAAGTGGTTTTTGGCTCGCTCGCTTAGGAATTATCTAAGGTGCCCATTGTTGAACAACCGAGCAACTTCTTCTCTTAATGGATGACAATCTTCAATCCAATGACAGTGAGTACCATGGTACTTACACATCAAATTAGGATCTCTCTAGGCAAGGTCGCACTGCAACGGTCGGGTCCACTTGGTCTCTTTGGTGCCGCGTATGGCTTACAATATGCTTGTAGTGTCCCCATTGATATTATACTCCGATAATCTTGGTGCTTCCTACTCCCGAGCGACCTCTCAAACCCGTTCTTGCTCATCAAGCCCTGGCTACTCGGTCCTCGATCATTTCTCTTCTTGTTCCTTGTCGGATAGTGCTCGGATCCATTTCCCCTCCAATCTGTGATGTATGGCTGATATCGATCTCGAACTGGCCTTGGCTCTGGATCAATGGTCCTCTTGGATCTATCATCGGTCCTAATGGGGTAAACGTATCCTGAATGGACCCCGAGTTGATCGTCTTCGACCCCGATCTTTGATTAATATTTGTGTGGACATGGGCCTAGGTGACCGCTAGGTACTCCAACAAAATTTGTTTCAGCTATTGAGAGGCCACGGAACTTCGGGCGTTGAGCCCTTGAGTGAATGCTTGAACGGCCCAATCGTCCGCAACTAGTGGCAGGTCCATTCGTTTCATCTGGAATCTCGACACGAACTCCTTGAGCATCTCGTTATCCTTCTATTTGACCTTGAAAAGGTCTGAGTTCCTGGTCTTGAACTTGATGGCTCCGGCATGGGCCTTCATAAAAGTATCTGCAAGCATAGCAAACGAGTCAATAGAATTGGGAGGCAAGTTGTGATACCGTATCATCGCTCCCTTGGACAAGGTTTCCCCAAACATTTTCAGCAACACTGACTCGATTTTGTCGTCTTCTAAGTCGTTCCCTTTCATCGCGCATGTATCGGAGGTTACATGCTCATTTGGATCCGTGGTCCTATTATACTTGGGAATGTCGGGCATTCGGAACCTCTTTGGGATTGGCTTCGGTGTTGCGCTTGAGGGGAAAGGCTTCTGAATAAACGTTTTGGAGTCTGATCCCTTCAATATCTGAGGCGCTCCCGGGATTTGATCGACCTTGGAGTTGTACATGTCCACCTTTTTGTCGTTGACCTCAATCTTTTTCTTGCCTGACTCCATCCGTTTTGTCAATCCTTCGAGCATTTTCATCACCTCAGAAGTTTCCCCGGGTCTGAGCTCATCCAGTTCCACAACACTTGTTCATCCCTTCGAGTATTTTCCCGGGACTGTTCGAGTTCGACCATGTTAGGGGCGTGTCTTTGGTTCTGCAACTGTGCTATCGCCTCTTGCTGAGTCTCTAAAATTCTGAAAATCAACCGCATGCTCACTCCATCACCTTCACCTTCGGGCGCTTCTTAATCGCGTCCAAGTCACACCTCTACTCGAGGTTATGAAACAGTCGATGCAATAGTAATACCCAGCAGAGTCGGGGTCGAATTCCACGGAGAGCTATATACCTCTCAGTAAGAGAGTGATTTTGCCCAATTTAGCTTTCTCAAGTCCAAATGGCTATTGAACAAAATAGTTGATAAAATTCTCAATACAGATTAACTATCTCTTGGTTTAACCCTTTAATTGAGACTATCAATCTCTTGATTTCATCCCAAATTCTTGTTAGCCAAGTTTTCCTAGACTAAGTCTCTCTTTTTCAAGTAGAGACCAAGTCAAATAGGCATGAACTAATGTTTGCAACCATTAATTCTAGAATAAAAGCAAGAACAAGGCTAAATAATAAACACTCAACCATAAACAAGCCATAAATCAAACACCCATTAGCTTTACACACTAGGTTTGGGTTACAATCCTGGTTAAAAATCCAGCTACTCATAATGGGTATAGAAGAAAACAAGGAAGAAAAAATGATAAAACTCATATTCAAAGATTAAAAGATGAAAATCAAATGTTGAATCACTAAAGTAAGATAAAGTTGCCTAAAGCAGAAAGAAAAAACGGCTACAGGAGTTCTAATATTCAAAACTTGACCTAATTTCGTGAAACTAGCCTATTTATACAAAGCTGGAAATTTCGGACAAAAATGCCCTTTCGGAGGTTCTGCGGCCGCACAACGCGAAATCAGATTTGTGACATTTTGGGGCAACTCATTCCTTTTGGGAACTGGGTTTAGCATTTGAAGAGTCACCACCTAATGAGTTAACGTGCATTAGGACACCAATAGAGATTCCATTCTAAGTTTTATTAACCAGAGATTGGGTAAGCGCTTGAAAATTATCCCAAGAGGAAGGTGTTAGGCACCCCCATGGATCCACTAGTGTGGTTCCCGGCCAGACAGTCATTGTGAATTTGGGTGCAATTAACATATAAACAAATAAGGCTCAAACAAGAGGGGATTTCAAATAACAAATGTTTGAAAGGGAACACAGTATGAGAGAGCAATTAAAGCTGACTTTAAACAAGGAGTTGCAATGCTTTTAAAATAGAAAGGGAAATAAGGGAAAGGGGGTCCTAGGTTTATTTAAAATATGGATCACATCAATGCAATACCCGGTAATCACTCCTCAGAAGAGGGGCAACACGTGGTATTAGCGCACCGGTCATCATATCCATATCTACCCTTTCCCACCCCGTTTAAGGTTTTAAAGCGCAGATTGGTCTCGATTACTATTGTATGCTTTTACCCGTCCCATTCCTATCAGTCGCGGAGGCACTTACGATTACTATTCCTAAAGGGAAGGGATATTAGGCTGATTTGTTTTAAAGGATAAAATCTAAGGCGACATACAAAAACACGTACTGCATGTTGGGTAGAACACATAAACAGACAAAGGCTCATATACACCTCCTTAGAAAAACACATAACTAGCATGACTTGCACATACTTTTTTTTAGGTCTGATTAAAAATACTAAAGACGAGGGGAGTTTGATTCAGAGCCAGATTCATCAGATACCTCAGATAAGAAGCCCAAATTAGGCCTGCCTGCTGGTTGGAGCAGTTACTAATTAACAAAGGCGAATTCAGTTTTATTGATGTTATTACCTAAGGCTTGCCTAAGTGTTTAAACGGAGTCCTATAGGCATGATACCTACTTTAATTCAGAAAGCAGTGAAAATGTAAAAAAACCCAAATTGTTTGAGATCCTATAGGCATGCTTGCTAAATCTCATTAAGTAAGGGAATAAGATTGTTTAAAACTGATTCAGAATAGATTGATTTTAAAACGGACCAGCTCAGGTTCTGCAGGTATGGTATCTAGTTATTGCTGATTTAAACCCTATGAACATGATATCTAACATTGAGTGTGAATGAAGCGAATCAGATTTATTTAAGAACCCCCTATAGGCATGATTTCTATATGTTACTGATTTCAACATTACGAACATGACACTTATTTTCAGCTGTTTAGAACCTAAAACATGATATCTAAGTGGCATGCAAAATTTAAATACGTCCTATAGGCAGGTTATGTAGGTGTGACATTGATCATGGAGAAAATGAGATAAACCCTATAGACATGGTGTCTAAAAATGCAGAATTGAACATAAAAAATTTAAAATAGTCCTATAGGCAGGTTATCTACCCTTGAGCATACATGATCACCCAACCCTTTTCACTACCCATCCCCAAATGTTTATTACAACTTATTACAAACCAGAAATACTGAATTACAAAAGAAAGAATGAAAGAAAAAGCTACAACCATAGGAAAGCCTGATTTGACTTCCTATCTGAGATATGCAAGGAATCGTGTCTTTGCCAATGCCATGATTTCAAAGCCTTTCTCAGACCTGGGTGTGTCAGAGTTCCCTAAGGGCCTCAATAGGGCCCCGGGCAGTGCTCACACCGAAGTTACACAACCAGAATAGAGATGAGTGTAGTGTGGAAATGCCAGCCCTCATATGTCCAAGTTCAGAGGGAGCTCATGGGGTCCCAAGGCAAGACTCACATGAGGGGGGCAGAACTTAAGTTCTAAGAAGATAGTGAGAGTGCAGGAACAGAGTTTTAAAGGTTGAGGGAATAAAGGAGAGGGAAAGGGTGATGGGGATAGCCATTAACATTTCAGGGAATCAAATAACTTCACAAAAGGGGGGCAGGGGATTGGGAATCCATTGCAAAGGAGCCTATACACTTAGGCATGGGTTAACTTTGGGCATGGATAGCAATAGGAAGTGCTTACATGCCTGTAAATCAACCAGAACACACAACAGATAAGGGAAACATGGAGGTTGTGATCCCAAAGGGATCAAGTTTGGTCATGAACAGCAATGTTCAATGCTATCATGTCCCAAACCAACCACATATACTAACTACATTAGGGATAGGGATTCAAAGTTCACAAGCGATGATAAATAACAAAAGCATTTATTCAGACAGAAGGGCAGAACATAGCGTTCATTAATAATGGAACTATCTAAATACAAACAGGAGGCAGACTGGAAGGAAAGAAATAGTAAAGAAACATGTCGTTGTTGATGTTGAAAAATTAATCAGAACATACCAGTTAAAGAAGCAAAGTGCAGTAAAGAAAGTAAGCAGGACTTCAAAGTATAGCCTTGGCTTTCAGCCGGCTAAGCAAACAGTAGCACAAGTAGTAATAAGCAAGAGAGAATTTTCTTTTTGAGTGTAAGTGTGTGTTCAGAACCAAAAAGTTCATGTCCTTGTGTTAATGAGAGAGTATGTATATATAGTAGTTCGAAACTAGGTAAAATAAGGCATGAATCATAATAGTATAGTAATTATGGAACTCAGAATCAATAAGAGCAAAATCAGTACAACCACTCCCATAATTTAAGGGAATTAGTTCAAACGGTAAGGACAAGTAACAAATAAGGAATGAAATCAATGTACGACCAACAAGGAAAGATTTTGAATTTAGTAAGTATAGGGTAAACAATTAGGGCTAAGATCAGAAAACTCTAACTATGGAGAT